ATCTCTCCTGGAGCCCCTTGAGGGACTGGAAGGGGCTCCAAGGTCTCCCTGGAGCCTTCTCTTCTCCAGGCTTCTCCTCCTCCAGCCCCACTCCAACACCTCCGTGTCCTTCTGACGTCCCCAAAGCCCATCATCACATCGACAGCTCCTTCACCAGTGACCCCCACGGTGGCTCTTCCCCAAAATTGAGGGAAAAGACACCCCGAATCCCCCAGGAATAGACCCACAGGAGGGACCTTCCACGTCCCCGATGTCCCTCCAAGATGCATTTTCACTCCCAAGCTCCCAAATTTCCTCCCTTTAGCCCCATTCCCAGCCTTCTCCACCCGCTGATAAAACACCTTCCACCCCCCCCTTCTCCGAAGTTTCCCAGTTTATCAGGAACACCTCCCAGTTTATTGCCATTCCCCTGATTATTGCTGCCATAAAATGCCCGAGCCGTGATTTCCAGCCGTCCCCGACTCGAAAAAGCCGCTTCCACCCGAGGAATATTTGCGAAAAAAAACCCCAAAACGGGTCACTCTCATCTCCATCCCCTTCCGCGGATCAATCCCCCCTCCCTGAGCCTTTGCTGGGGCGTTAGCACTTAAAAAATCACACCTTGGGTCTGAGCTGCTGGTGTTTGGCCAAAATATTGGGATTTAACACCATTTTGGGGGCTTGGAAGCACTTTATGGAGGGGATTTGGTGTCCTTCTGCTGTGCCCACCCCAGGTGAAGGATCCCTCACCTCCGTTGGAGCCCCGGGCTCTATTTAGGGCCCCTGTGGGACTCATAATGCCCCATTGAGGTTGGGTTCCCCCCCAAGGGGGTGTCTTTCCCCCCCCCCAGGAGGTCCTTTCCCCCCCAGGAGGTCCTGTCCCCCCCAAGAAGGTCCTGTCCCCCCCATACTTATTTCCCTGCAATTTTTCTCTCTCTTTTTTTTTTTCTTTTTTTTTTTTTCTTTTTTTTTTTTTCCCCTCTTTTTTGTCCCAGCCAGAGCTGGGGGGAGACCCGGAGCCTTTAACGTGCTCGTACCCACACGACAAGGGCTCCAAAGAGAGGGCTCAGTCAATGCACGTTTCATCAGGGGGGGGCTTTTAATCCCGTCCGCAACGCGATTTTTAAAGCAATTATTTCAACTTCTATTTCAGCCACTCTGCCCCAAAAACGGAGTTGCTTCAGACCCAGCCTTTTCCGACACCCCCTGAAAACGGAGCGAGAGCGGCCGGAGAGATTCCTCCCCCCAAACACCAGATAAAATGAAACTCAGCATTTAAATTCCCAAATTTTGAGGGTTCCAAAGGGCTGAGCCCGACTCCTGCCTCCTCAGGTCCTTTTTGGGGGGCTCCTACCCCCTTTTTCCCTCATATTTTAAGGTGGCTGCCCCCACCCCACACCCAGCTTCGTTAACGAGGGGTTTTAGGGTCCTTTAAACAATTAAAACCCACCCAAAGTGGGGCCACCCAGCCCTTATTTCCCCCCACCCCCCCCAACTCTAACAAAATCACTTCTGAAGAGGGAACAATGTCTTTCCCTGCAGATTCCTGACACAGGGATAAAAGGTGATAAAAGTGGGGGATGAGCCAAAAAACCCCCCCTTCATCCCCGTCCCCAGCTCCGTGGGGTTTATTCCTCCCCAATTTCCCCCAAACCAGGGGCCGGGAGGCTTCGCTGAGGGGGCTCCCACCCTCCAGCTGCCAAAAATCCAGGGAAAAACCACTCCGTGTGGGATTTTGGGGGGTTTTCCCCCCGTTTTCACCCTAAAAGCAGGGAAACACTCGGTGCTGGGGTAAAACCCAAGGGGTTTTATAAAAACCAGGGGTTTGGGGTACCCCGGGAGCATCCCGTGATACGATCCCTGCCCAAGCTTTGTAAGGAAAAGAGCCGTTTTGGGGCCGTTTGTCCCCAAATGGTGGTGCGGAACCACCTGCCAATAATCCATATTCCTCATTAACGCCTTCCCAAATAATTGGATGGGGGCTTTAGAGAGACGTGAGGGCTGGGGAGCACCCACACCCAAGTGGAATCCACCCCAGGCCTAATTAGCGGTCATTAACACTCATTAACACCAGCTGCAGGACAAAATTAGGGCCACGGGAAGGGAGGGAGAGATTTCGGGTTCGAACCGAGAGATTCCGGGTTCAAACCGGGCAGATTCAGCCCCACAAAAAGCATCCCCCCCCCTCCCTGCACAGAGCGTGTTCACCCCTCATTAAAAACCTTCAACGCCCCAAAACAAAGGTTTTTAATTAGGGGGGGTGGCTTTTTAGGAGCAGAGTAATTAAAAGCTGCCAAAATTTCCACTGGAGGAGGAATAACTCGGCTCGTTTCAACCCAAAAGGCTCCTCAAAGCCCAGGCGGGGGTTTGGTCTGGGGGGGATTTGGGGTCTCTCCTCTCCCTCCCCGGCCGTGGATCTGGGCTAAAATCTGACCTTTTGGAGGATAAAAGAAAAGGCAAATTGTGTGGAGCGACGGACGGCACAAGGGGTGGCGGATCCCGACCTCGTCGTCGGGTAAAAAGTTGGGGAAAAAAATAAATCAGGGGAAATAAAAATCAATACGCCGGGTAAAAATGATGCACAAGTGGGGAAAAAATAAATCAGGGGAAATAAAAATCAATCCGGGAACGAAAATTGGGGGAGACGAGATAAAAAAGTCAGGGGAGACACCAAAATCAGGGAAACCAAAAAATCAGGGAAACCAAAATCAGGGAAAACCAAAATAGGGGAAAAACAAAGATGAGGGAAACCAAAAAATCAGGGAAACGAAAATCGGGAAAAACCAAAAATCAGGGAAACACAAAAATGAGGGAAACCAAAATCAGGGAAAACCAAAATAGGGGAAAAACCAAAAAATCGGGGAAAAACCAAAATAGGGGGAAACCAAAAATTAGGGGGAAAAACCAAAAATGAGGGAAACCCAAAAATGAGGGAAACCCAAAATATCGGGGAAACCAAAAAATCGGGGAAAAACAAAAATCAGGGAAACCAAAATAGGGGGAAACCAAAAATTAGGGAAAACCAAAAAATCAGGGAAACCAAAAATCAGGAAACCAAAATAGGGAAAAACCAAAAATCAGGGAAACCAAAATCGGGGAAAACCAAAAATCAGGGAAACCAAAAAATCAGAGAAACCAAAAATCAGGGAAACCAATAATCAGGGAAACACCAAAAAATCAGGGAAACACCAAAAAATCAGGGAAAACTCAGGCGGCTCTTTCAAATGATGTTTTTCTACAGCGAAAGGGGACGGGCCGGCGCATCCCCCCACCCAAACCAGCCCAAAATTGGGGGGAAAACTGCAGCTCTTTCAAACGATGTTTTTCTACAGCGAAAGGGGAACAGCTGGTGCATCCCCCCACCCAAACCAGCCCAAAAGCAGGGGGAAAACTGCTTTTTTTGGGGGGGAATGTTGAGGTTGTTGGAGAAGAGGGGGCCGGGGCGGTTTGTGGGTGCCGAGCTCGGCGCCGGCTGGTGCCAGGCTGGGGTGAGGTCAGAGGAAGGAGCTGCTATTGTTCGTGTCCCCGCGTCCGGGATGGGTCTTTTCCAGGCAGAAACAGCTCTGGATGAAGGGAGAGGAGAAGTTGGGAATAAAAAAGCCAAAATCCAGCAACGACGACACCTCCAGACCCCCAGAAAGTGGGGGAAGCACCCCAAGAAACACCATCCGACCCAAAAACGAGCCATTTCTTCCCCTTCCATCCCCATAAGAGCCATGGAAAGAGGAAAAAAGGTGGAAGAAGCGACTCCGTTGGGGTGGGGAAGCAGTTTTCAGCCATTACGACCCGTTTCCAAAGCGTTTTTAAAGCCCAAAGTGGGGGGGATGGAATGGCCTGGGTTGTCCCCCGCCCCACATCGTTATCGGGGAGGACACCTTCTCCTCTCCTCCCCACCCCGGGTGGGTGTCACGGTTTTGTCCGTGGTTTTGCCTTATCCTGCCCCCCCCCCCGACACCCCGGTGCTATCTCGGGGGCGCAGGAGGAGGTGGTGGGGCCAGCATCCTTCTTCCTGCCATCCCCAGAATCACAGGATGATTTGGGGTGGGAAGGGACCTTCTGGAGATCATCTCTTCCAACCCCCCCCAGCCAGAGCAGGTCCCATCCAGGGGGGGTTGGGATATCTCCAGAGATGGAGACCCCCCCACCTCTCTGGTGGGCTCTGCCACCCTCAAAGTGAAGATGCTCCTCCTCGTGTTGAGATGGAACTTCTTATACTCAAGTTTGTGTCCATTTCCTCTTGTCCTGTCACTGGGCACCACTGGAAAAAGCCTGGCCGCATCCTCCTGACACCCCCCAGCCATGAGATCCCCCCTCAACCTTCTCTTCTCCAGACTCCAAAGCCCCAAGTCCCTCAGCAGAGAGATCCTCCAGCCCCTCATCATCCTCCCAGTCCCCCCTGGACCCTCTCCACCATTTCCCTGTCCTTCTGGAACTGGGGAGCCCACAACTGGTCCCAGTGCTCCAGATGGGGCAGAGCAGAGTTGGGGGGGGGATGACCTCCCTTGAGGTTCTCCACCCTCTTCCTGATGCCCCCCCAAGATGCCATTGGCCTCCTTGGCCACCAGGGCCTCTTGGTGGCTCATGGGCATCCTGTTGCCCCTCCAGGACCCCCATATCCTTTTCCCTCAGAGCGGGTCACCCCCAAACCCGTCCTGGGCCAGGGGGTTACGTCTTACGACGCCTCCCCCTTACTCCGTATTCACAGAACCCCTTTACGCCAGCGCCCCGCCCGACCCCCCCCTCTCTTACGCCGCTGGCGTAAGGCCCCGCCGCCGGTGACCCGCTCCCCTTTACGCCCCCCCTTACGCCAAGTGCGTAGGTAGGGCACGGCCGGGAGCTACGCACTTTGCGTAACGCGCGCACGGAAGGGGAGGAGGTTGGGAGGGGGGTCCCATAGGCGGCGGCGGCCGCGCCCTACGCAAGGCGGGATTCACGAAGCGCTCTTACGCCAAGTGCGTAGCGGCGCCCAGGTCGCCGTTTCCCGTTCCCTTTTCCGCTCCCGCCGCCGTTCCGCCACTCACCGGCCCACGAAGTTTTCCAACACCGAGCTCTTGCCCGCGCTCTGCCCGCCCACCACGGCGATCTGAGGCAGGTCGAGGTGGCAGCTCTGCCCGATGGAGCTGAAGGCGTCCTGCAGCTTGTTCACCAGCGGGATGAGCTCCTCCATGCCCCGGTTCCCCATGGCGGCGGAGGGGCGGGGGGGGAACACACCGCGATCCCGCTCTCCCCGGCGGCGGTTCCTCCTCACAGGGCCCGCGGCGGCGGCGGCGGCGGCGAACAAACTTCCCCTCAGAGTCTCCTCATCCTCCCTCCGCCCGGCCCGCCCCCCTCCCCTCAGACCGCGCGCCCATTGGACGGCTCGGCCGTCGATCAAAGGAATCCGCCCAGCGGAGTGGAGGAGAAGGGTGTCAATCAAGCGGAAAGGCGGGACGGGCGAGGTGCGCCCCTTCTCCTCCCCGCTATTGGCCTCCCGGCGCGTCGCTCATGGCTGCCAGCCAATGGGAGACGGAGTTGGCCTGTCAGCTGAGGCGGCGCTGCTGCACTTCCCGCCCCTCGACATCGCTCCTGCCGTTTCATTGGCAGAGACGACTGCCGCTCCGGAAAGCTAGCCAATCGCTACCCGAAAGAGACCGAGGAGTTCACCCCCCTCTCCCCACCCTCCTTCTCTCTCATTGGACACCGAGCCCGCCACTCCACCGCCTCGACCAACCCAGCGGCAGAGGCGAAGCGGGAGGAAAACCCTCTCGCCATTCGCCAGCCGCCTGTCAATCAACGATCCCTGCCACCCCATTGGTCCTTAACCCCCCCACTCCCAGGCACAGCCCATTTGACCGTAGACCCTCGTGTAGCCGCGCACTCCCGACGCCCCCCCCATCTCCTGTCGAGGCTCCGGTACCGGCCCGACCCCCCCGTTTCCCCGCGATCCCCGGGGACACCGACAGCCCGACCACGGCTTCCCTTC